CAGCCACCGCCCCGGTCGGAGCCACACCCGTTCCCGAAGACGATCAACCCATGACGAATAATGCCTAGGCTGCGAACAACCGCGCTCGCACACCAACTTAACTGTGCACGGAGCGAAATAATCACCAAGGCGGCGGTGGAAGAAGCAGAAACAGACTCGAGCATTTATTTCCTACTACTACAAGAACCATGGACCTCAACAGAAGGATACCCACCAGAATCAAATCTCTTTTACCTTTTTACAGCCAGTAATACCAACACGAAATGCGCAACATACGTCCGCAAACATGCCAACCTTAAACCGAAACACCACTACACACATGATAATTTCATAGTTTTGATTACGGTAGAAATCCAGACCAAGAAAACCCAAATCCTAAACATATACTCCCCAGGCCGAAGTGGCCCCTTCGCTCAAATAGCAAGTACAATCCAAACCCTTGATAACTGTCTAGTAATGGGAGACTTCAACTGCCACCATCAAATTTGGTACGGAGTAAATTCACATGAATATAGAAACAACATTCGAGCAGACCGCGTCAATGGTGCATGGCTAAAACGATGGATAACCCGACAGAAATTGACCCTCCTGAACGAATCAGGCGTCTTTACGCATTTCCCCAGAGACAGAGGGAAAAGGCCCACAACCATCGACCTTGCATTTGTTAAAGGCCCAACACTCAACCATAACCTACGATGGAGCACCGAACCCTATGGAGCGGGCTCAGACCACGGGAGAACCTCCGTCCACTTACACTTGGAGAAACCACCTTTTGTACCAAGACGAATGTGGCGACAAACAGACTGGAAGCTACTGGAGAACCACATGTCAAACATTTCCATCCCTGCAGAGGCATGGGAAACCAAGGAACTTACGGAACAAACTGTCGATTTCTTCCTAGAACTGGTCAGGTCAACAGTCAGCATAGTAACACCGCTCTCAAAGGAGGGGGTAAGAGCCAACTCCTGGTGGTCAGAGGAAATGAAACAAATGAAGGCAAAGGTAAACGCAGCAGAAAGGAAGGCGAGAAACACAAGGAAACCCAATCACGTGGAGGAACACCGGAAGGCTTGCAGGGAATGGATAGTCATGATCCGGAAAGCAAAAGCGGACCAGCGGGAAAAGACGATGAACGAGGCGAAAGGTAGTGAAGTCTGGAGAATCCTAAATGCAGGAAGGAGAAGAGACACAATCATACCAACCATACAAGGTGAAGAAACGTTTGCGGGGAAGTGTCAAGCTTTAAGAGCCCAACTTTTCCCCTCGAAACGGACGTCCCCCGACCATCCCCCCCTAAACATTAGACCCCCTTCTTTTGACCTTAGCAACACCTTCGACATAGTCACCCCCGAAGAACTTAATAAAGCAATCGACTCCTGTCCAGTGCATTCGGCGACCGGCCCGGATGGCATCCCTTATACCTTTATTAAAGCAATAGTCAGAGCAAATACAACTCTAATCCAAGACATGTTCTCCGCCATGCTCCGGCACGGTGTACACCCAACGGAATGGAAAATAGCTAAGTGTATCCCGATCCCGAAACCCGGTAAAGCAAACTACCATGAAGCGAAAGCCTATCGGCCCATTTCCCTTCTTCAATGTTTCAGCAAAATCCTGGAGAAGATAGTGGCCCAAAGACTCTGCACCGCTGGAGAAATTCTAGGCACACTCTCAGCGAATCAATTTGGAGGAAGACCAACCATCTCGGCAATCGACGCCCTCCTGAGAACCCTGACACCAATACAACAAAACCTACTACTGAAAAACAGTACCGGAGTCGCTCGGCGAGACAGACCAGCGATCCTAACCAACGACATCCAAGGAGCATTTAACTGCGTCGACCACCTGCTCCTCGCGGAAATCATGTACCAACAAAAATTCCCTACCTACCTAACAGAATGGTGCAAGGAATTCAATACCGGCAGAAAACTACAGTTTCAGTTCAACCATGAGCTAGAGGAACCACAGCCTTACGATTCTGGAGTGCCGCAAGGTAGCCCCATGTCCCCGGTACTATTCATGATCTATGCTGGAGTAATCCTGGACCCAACAAGTAGCCAGAAAGAGATGGACACCACATTTATCGACGACGATGCACTGGTGCAAATATCCAAAACACCAGGCTTCACAATCAAGAGAATGGAGGAACGAATGAGAGAGAGACTAATAAAAGCTGAGCCACTCCAAATTAAATACGACCCGGATAAATCCGACCTGATCTTCTTCCGGCCCACTACATCATCCACACAACAACCACGACTCTCGGTCAAAATTAACAATCCCAACATACACCCCAAGGAGAGGCTGAAATATGTAGGAGTCTGGATAGATCCGACCCTCTCCTTCCGGCCCCACATTGAAGCAGCAATCGCAAAAGGCCTTAAAGCCCTCCACCAGATTCGATACACCGCCCGCCTGCCAGGAATAACGGTTAAAACAATCCATCACATCATAACACAAGGCTTCCTCCCAAGTCTACTCTACGGATCCGAGGCTTGGTGGACTGGCGCAGACCACATTATAAGATCCCTCGAACCACTATACAATGAAGCGGCCCGGGTCATCACCGGCCTACCACGATGGACCAAAAGAACTAAACTCCTCCGAGAAGCAGGCTTACCCCCCTTAGAACACCTCCTGACATATCGCTCAAGAAAGTACGGAACTAGAATACTCTGCACCGAGGCAACCCATCCCAACAACGAATCTCTGATCGAGCTCCTCCCATACAGAGAAGCAAATATCAAAGGAACAGGCTTACACCGAATCGCCTCCTTACTACTCCCATACCAGAGCCCCGGAAATGCGAGAGATAAGTGGAACCAAAACAAACTACTACGCGACCACCTGTTGGAAGAGTGGAACACACAATCAATACCGAACTACCATCATCGGGGGGAATTCCGCCCCCCTCCCAAGATAGCGAAACTCACCCTTACGGAAGCAAAGAAAGTATTTCGGATCCGGTGCCAAACCACCCGAGTCGACAAACACGCAGTATACACAGACCCCGAACCATGCCAGTGTGGGATGGAAAACTCAGCGAAACACATACTCATGGAATGCCCAGTGTGGGCTCGAATCCGCACCCCCCTGATAGAGAAGATCCCCGGAGCGATGACCTGGGAAAACTGGATGTTTACAAACCTGAGAACGGACCTCATCCTACAATTTGCGAAACAATCTCAACTCTCGAAATGGTACGAGTCGGCGGAGGCGGAGGCGGACCTGGAAGAGGGGATGGAAGGAAATGACCGGGAACGGGATTAGGAAGGGGAGTCTCCTTTTGCTCTTTAAAATTGTTTTTATTCTTTGATTTGATGGATCCAGCGCTCGAGTCCGCTGAGATATGATATTTCTCCTTGTCGTTGGGTTTTCTGGTCGAAGTGTTGTTCTGGATTTCCTTGTTATTGTTCGTGTTCGCTTGTGCTTGTTTTGTCCTTGTTCCTGTTCTTGTTCGTTTGTGCTTGCGTTTGTTGTTTTTCTTTCTTTTGTTCGGTTCGGTTTGTGTTTTAGGCGGTTGAGTCGGCGTGCGATAAGTCTTGTACTTCAAAGCAATATAAGTTTCTTCTTCTTCTTCTTCTGTATTCTACCCGCTCGCCTCTGCCCCGCGGTAGGATTTCTTCCCCCCGAGATGGAGTTATACTGATTCTCGAATTGCTTCGGTCCCTGAACTTCCCTCGCTCGACCCCCCCATTCTTTGCTCGTTCGGTGCCCTCACGGGATGCGTCCACCGTTCACCCCTCGCCAAACCAGCGGCTACTCTCGAAAGCCGCCTTCGCCCCTCCTTACTTTCACTCATCGCACCAGTGATCCCACACGTCGGGTACGCACACTGTCAGTAATCTCCAGTCAGCGAGAACCTACTGCCAAAGCGCTCGACAGCCCGCGAAGTTAGCGACCTCTCGGTCGCGAAACTATCGTCAAATTTTTTACCCGAGGTCCCGTGACCTTACCCCTCTTTATCGGCCTTAACCAGGCCACCCACTTTTACCCAAGGCGGCCCGCTCCCCTCACTCCAACCCAACCGGTCTCCGAGACCACCCTCAACACAATACGGTCGGCACTTTCGATTGCGACCCCCATACATAATCTGAGCCTTCGGCTCAACCCTTTTTGCATGTCCCCTCCAGAGGACACCACTTCAAACACGACTCGGGCACAGTCTTTAGCCGTTGCTCCAGGGACCGATGACCCCACCATTCTTTAACTGACCAACCGGTCACCACTCCTCAATTCCTCGCTGCCTGACAACCAGATGCCCGAGGACCCACACTCGATCCACCCCCCCTCGCTTTCATACCTGACGCTGTTGCGGTTGGCCTTTCCTGCCTTCGTGCGCGTGGTTTCCCAGTCCTGTTAAGGTTCGTCCACAGATATGACACCGGGAACGTTGGTAATGATATCGTTTCGATTGAACACTACGTTTAGGATTGTGCTCGCTAATGCAGTTGACGGAGAAGTTTGGGGTTATTATTTTTTACTACGGGGAGGTTTCTTTGTTGTCGCTTAGATTCTGCTTACCTGTACCACTTGTTATTCGCGCCCTCTTCGTGCGCTGTTTCTCCTTTTTATGTACGTAGTTCTCGTAGCTGCGGTAGTTAGTTTTTGTACTTCGTTTTTGTTTTCGGGTTAGTCGGTGGAGGTTGTAGTCGGGTAGTTAGGTGTGCGATAAGCTTCGGCTTCTAAGCAATATAAGTTTCTTCTTCTTCTTCTTCTGTATTCTACTTGCTCGCTAAGGCTCGCAAAGAACTCCCTGATAACAAACCTCGCTTTAAAAACATTTTATTTTTACTCCCCTCGGTTTACCCTGGTATACCATACCAGGCTGAGCCACTTCGTCCCCGATCGTACGGTCGCGTTTTGTTGTTCCAAGCGAAAGAAACCTACGAAAACTGGCTTCCAGCGAAGAATTCTCCAGCCTTGACCTCCCGAAAGAAAGGAAAAGAAACTTTTCCGAAACATCACTCTACGCCGCCAGAAGAACTGGACATTCAATCATGTCGCAGCAAGCTTCGCTCCAGTCCTTTTTTACCCAGTCTTCCCAGCAAGGGACAGCCCCCCCGCAGAACAGGAACACTCCGGTTCCTGACCTAACCCCATCCGGAGCCCAGGAACAGGAATTCTCCTCGACCTTTGCAACAGAATCCAACTACAACGACCCATACCAACCGAGAATTGATTACCTCTACCCGAGCGTTGTCCCTCAGGACACTCACACCCAGACGGACCTGAACTATATTACCTGGGCCATCAGACATGCCACCAGCCGGATCTGCCCACACTCCGACAGGATTGAAATCCTCGAAGAGCAAACGACTACACTCCGGAGAACAGTGGATACACTGAAACACCAAATCGAGGCGCAGACAAACATGATCACCAATATGCATTCAGCGATCCACGCGCTCCTCAGCAAACAACCACAACCGCAGCAACCGCAGCAACCGCGACAACAGCAACAACAGCAACAACAGCAGAACCACAACAACCGCAAGGACAGAGAATCCCCCCCCAGCGGTCCCACAAACAGTTCCCCAAGCAGCGCCACAGGCAGCTCCTCAGGCCCCCCCACCCGCACCCCCCCAACAAGCCCCACCCCGTGGATGGAAGGCAGGCACCTGGGCCGCCGTAGCCTCGGCACCCGGTCCTGCCCTAGGAAACTTCCAGGTTGTCGAGAGAAGAAAGAAGTCCGCAAAGCCAAAAGCGGACCCTCTCTTCAAACCAGAATATACCAAAATCAACAGAGAAATCATTGTTGAAACCACCGCCCCATCCGATGTCAATCCCTCTGAAATTAGGACCCTAGTCAATGCAAGAATCCAAGACGAGTCCTGCCATTTCATCTCAGCAAGAAGAACACTCAAGGACAACTTTATCTTGGAAACAAAATTTGTTACCCCAGCAACAAAGGCAATGGAATACGCCAAAGAAATTGAGGAGGCTCTCCTCACCCTACAAGTACCGGTCGCCATCATCCGCGCAAACTCCAAATGGTCAAAGTTCCTTATCCACGGAAGCCCCACTACGATCGGAGAAGGCGTCGAGGCAGGACAATTGGTAGCATCCGAAATCAGAAGCAACTATGGAGAGAACTTCCAACTTGCCCAGGTTCCCCGCTGGATCTCCAGAGCAGAGACTCGAATGGACAAAACGCACTCATCAATGGTCATCGCGCTCCCAGGACAAGTTACAATGGAAACACTAGGAGTTAAGTTCCTATCCCTCTTTAACCGAAGCTGCCACATCGAGGCCTTCCTCCCAACCTTCCCAGACACCCAGTGCGGGAAGTGCCTTGAATACAGCCACCACCAGGAGAAATGTAAGAACAATGGGAAATGCAGCCACTGCGCCGGAGATCACCTCACCAGTTTCCACCCATGTAATGAATGCCAGGGAGGATATAGATGCACCCACACCCCAATCAGATGCCTGAACTGTAAAGGAGCTCATAAGGCCTCCGACCCAGCATGCCCCGAGAGGGCCAAATGCCGATTCCTCAAAGGGAAGGAAAACGCCCCACCCGCTCAAGACCCACCGGCCGCACCCGTCCAAGAGTTGCTTCCAATAGTTCAAGTACCAGCCACTGCCCCGGTCGGAGCCATACCCGTTCCCGAAGACGACCAACACATGACAAATAATGCTTAGGCCCCGAACCACCGCGCTCGCATACCAACTCAATTGTGCACGGAGCGAACTTATTACCAAGGCGGCGGTAGAGGAAGCGGAAACAGACTCTAGTATTTATTTCCTATTATTACAAGAACCATGGACCTCAGCAGAGGGATACCCACCAGAATCAAATCTCTTTTATATTTTTACAGCCAGCAACACCAACACAAAATGCGCAACATATGTCCGCAAACATGCCAACCTCAAACCAAAACACCACTACACACACGACAACTTTATAGTGTCGATTACGGTGGAAATCCAGAACAAGAAAACCCAAATCCTAAACATATACTCCCCAGGTCGAAGTGGCCCCTTCGCCCAAATAACAAAAACAATCCAAACCCTCGACAATTGCCTAGTAATGGGAGATTTCAACTGCCACCATCAAATGTGGTACGGAGTAACCTCACATGAATACAGGAACAACATTCGAGCAGACCGCGTTAACGGCGCTCGGCTAAAGCAATGGATAACCCGACAGAAACTGACCCTCCTGAATGAACCAGGAGTCTACACGCACTTCCCTAGAGACAGAGGGAAAAGGCCTACAATCATCGACCTTGCATTTGTAAAAGGCCCAACACTTGACCACAACCTACGATGGAGCACTGAACCCTATGGAGCGGGCTCAGACCACGGGAGAACCTCTGTCCATCTACATTTGGAAAAACCACCCTGTGTACCAAGACGAATGTGGCAACAAACAGACTGGAAGCTATTGGACAACCACATATCAAATCTTTCCCTCCCTGCAGAAGCATGGGAAACCAAGGATCACACGGAACAAACGGTCGAATTCTTCCTAGAACTGGTCGAGTCAACAATCAATATAGTAACGCCACTCTCGAAGGAGGGTGTAAGAGCCAACTCCTGGTGGTCGGATGAAATGAAACAGATGAAGGCAAGGGTAAACTCGGCAGAGAGGAAGGCGAGAAATATCAGGAAACCCAACCACGTGGAGGAGCACCGGAAGGTATGCAGAGAATGGACAGTCATGATCCGGAAGGCAAAAGCGGACCAGCGGGAAAAGAAGTTGAATGAAGCGAAAGGTAGTGAGGTCTGGAGGACTCTAAATGCAGGAAGGAGAAGAGACACAATCATACCAACCATACAAGGTGAAGAAACGTTTGCAGGGAAGTGTCAAGCTCTAAGAGCCCAACTCTTCCCATCAAAACGGACGTCCCCCGACCATCCCCCCCTAAACATTAGACCCCCCTCTTTTGACCTTAGCAATACGTTCGACACAGTCACCCCCGAAGAACTCAGGAAAGCAATTGACTCCTACCCAACGCACTCGGCGACCGACCCAGATGGCATCCCCTATACCTTCATCAGAGCAATAGTCAAAGCGAACACAACTCTAATCCAAGACATGTTCTCCGCCATGCTTCGGCACGGAGTACATCCAGCGGAATGGAAAGTTGCAAAGTGCATCCCGATCCCGAAACCCGGCAAGGCAAACTATCATGAAGCAAAAGCCTACCGGCCCATCTCCCTTCTACAATGCTTCAGTAAGATCCTGGAGAAAATAGTGGCTCAAAGACTCTACACCGCTGGAGAAATCCTAGGCACACTCACAGCGAACCAATTCGGAGGAAGACCAACCATCTCAGCAATCGACGCCCTTTTAAGAACCCTAACACCAGTACAACAAAACCTACTTCTGAAGAACAGCACCGGAGTCGCCCGGAGGGACAGACCAGCGATCTTAACCAACGATATTCAGGGAGCATTTAACTGTGTTGACCACCTACTCCTCGCAGAAATCATGCACCAGCAAAAATTCCCCACCTACCTTACGGAATGGTGCAAGGAATTCAACACCGGCAGGAAACTACAGTTCCAATTCAACCATGAACTAGAGGAACCACAGCCCTATGAATCCGGAGTCCCGCAAGGTAGCCCCATGTCCCCAATACTATTTAGGATCTATGCCGGAGTAATCCTGGACCCAACAAACAACCCGAAAGAGATGGACACGACATACATCGATGATGATGCGCTGGTGCAAATATCCAAAACACCAGGTTTCATAATCAAAAGAATGGAGGAACGAATGAGAGAGAGATTAATAAAAGCCGGCCCACTCCAAATCAAATACGACCCGGATAAATCCGACCTAATCTTCTTCCGGCCCACTACATCATCCATACAACAACCACGACTTCCGGTCAAAATCGATAACACCGCTATATACCCCAAAGAAAGGCTGAAATACGTAGGAGTCTGGATAGATCCGACCCTCTCCTTCCGACCCCATATCGAAGCAGCGATCGCAAAAGGCCTGAAAGTCCTCCACCAGATCTGAAACACTGCCCGCCTGCCAGGCATAACAGTTAAGACAATCCATCACCTAGTAACACAAGGCTTTCTTCCAAGCCTGCTCTACGGATCCGAGGCTTGGTGGACTGGCGCAGACCATATCATCAGATCCCTCGAACCACTATACAATGAAGCTGCCCGGGTCATCACAGGCCTACCTCGATGGACCAAGAGAGCTAAACTCCTCCGAGAAGCAGGACTACCCCCCCTTGAACACCTCCTGACATACCGCTCAAGAAAGTATGGAACTAGGATACTCTGCACCGATGCAACCCACCCCAACAATGAATCCCTGATCGATCTCCTCCCATACAGAGAAGCAAATATCAAAGGGACAGGCTGTGAGGGATGCGTACCAGACCACAAGAGTACACTACGCAGAGCTCAGAGTTCGGCTAACAGCTACAAAGGTAGAAGTCTCCAAGGTCTCTTCAGTCAACGTCGAGTATGAATCTCCTTGATCCGATACGGGCCCCGCGAGCTACGTTATCATCCAAGATTCACTAGAGTTAGCGTATAGAATTCGACCGTCTTCGACGTGATAGTTCAGGTAGAGTTCGAAGTCACGATAGAATAAAGTAATTCCAAAAGTATAGTCAAATAAAGTTGTAACTCGCGTATCAACGATTTATATTGTTAAGACTCTGATTTCGCCGATGATGGTTTGGCTAGTCAGTGAATGACACAGTATTTATATCCCTCGCTTATGTCTCGAGTGTAACGGGGGTCCTTTCTAAGAGAAATAGATTTGTATAGAATAAAGACGGCCGTGCAAGATAGACAATCAGGTTGCAGATTATTCAAAGATACTATCGCTAGAACTCAATAATCTTTAAGGGCTCTGCTACCGATGAGAACTTGGTTTTTCTTTCTGATGAAGACTTGAGAGAATAGGACTGAAGGGCGGGAATGAACCTGAGTACTTATACTCCGAAGGCCTCTGTTCTCTGCTCCTAACTCCTTTACTAAGTTCCGGTGGGCCTTCCCTCAGTACCGGAAACAATACCACCGCTACCCCGCTTTTCTCTAAGCGTCAGCAGGTGTTTCCGATACCCAAGGCAACCACCCTTAGTCAAAGCCTTTGTAACACCTGCAGCCTTGGTTGCCACACAACTGAGGACCTGCATGAATGAGCTGCCGCTCAGGTGTAAGCTTAATCATTGCTGTAGAGCTTTCGCTTATTGTAGACTTCCCTAGCATAGTCCCTGCCCTTCGGCGGACTTATAATGCACCGAGGATACAGAGGATCACCGGTCAATCAGAGCTTCACTCTGGCCGGTCTTCTAGTCACTGGCGAGGCATAGACTCGTCAGTCATTGCTCCCATGAATAGATCCTCTTCCTAGCGCCCGGAATGTAGTTACTCTAACAGCTGGTAGCTAACCACACTGCCGGTACTTGCATATCACCGTGCAACTGGCTTCTAACAATAGCTCTCAGCATGTAACCGGGCCCTGTGTGTACTCATACACCAGACAGTTGAAATGGCTCCGTTACACCACTCCCCTCTTCCAGGATCTTGGTCTCCGAGATCTATAACCATTCTATTACCATTCTATATGACAAGAAACTCCGTGATATGCAAGGAAATGAAAACCCAAAGGAAATAATCTACACCCCAACAATCCGCTTGTCCTTGGGTTTCTTAGGATACCTCATATGGAAATCCCGAAGGGCTTCTTCAGCACTCTTCTTGAGATGCTCCCAAGGTTCCCATGTAGCATCCTCGTTCTCATAACCTTCCCACAGCACTAGATATTCCACTCGTCTTCTCTTCTTATTGACCCGGCTATCAGCTACCTCTCGGACAACCCAGTTCTGTTCTCCCTCAACCTCTTCGGGTTCCGGTGGGGGAACTCTTCTCTCAGGATCTACCGGTGCTCTGTAGGGTTCTAGGAGAGAGACGTGAAAGACCGGGTGGATTCCCATCTGGGGGGGAAGAGAGAGCTTGTAGGCACGGGTACCAATAGCTTCTAAGACCTTAAAGGGTCCCATCTTCTTCTGATCCAATTTTCCCAAAGGCCGCTTTGTTTGCACATTGCGCCGGTCCAACATAACTTCATCTCCGGGCTTGATTTCAGGTGGTGCCAGGGCATGAGCATCATACCACCGGGCCATCCTTAATCTAGCTTTACCCAAGCTGGCGTTCATAGCCTGCCAGATAGATTCCCATTGAGAAATCATGACCTCACTTGCTGGATTGTTCCATTCTACTCCTTCCTTTGGGGCCGGCCAGTTGGTCCTGGGTTCATATCCATAGTTGGCATAAAAAGCCGATACTTTGGTAGACTCAGAGACCGCCGAGTTATAAGCATACTCTGCCAAAGGCAAGAGTTCTGCCCAGTCATCCTGTTGATATGAACAATAACTCCGCAAGTAATGTTCCAGGGTCTGATTAACTCTTTCTGTTTGACCGTCCGTCTGGGGGTGGAAAGATGTGGACATCTTCAGCTTCACATTGAGGAGGCTCATGAGAGATTGCCAAAAGTGAGAAATGAACCTGCTATCTCTGTCCGAGACTATGTCATCAGGCAAACCATGGAGTCTCCAAACTTCCTTCAAGAACAATTTAGCCAAATCTTCCGTTTTATTGAGGGTAGGAAGAGGGATGTAGTGTGCCATCTTCGAAAAGCGGTCCACTATTACCCAGATCTTTGTAAACCCACTAGATTCCGGTAGTCCCACAATGAAGTCCATAGAGATGGAAGTCCATGGCCGATAGGGTATCTCCAACGGTTGGAGCATACCAAACTTCTTGTGTCTTGAGGTCTTATTCCTCTGGCAGCTGTCACAGCTCCGGACATATTCCTCAACATCCTTATCCATGTTGGGCCAAAAGAAGTTATTTTTCACCCGCTCTAGTGTCTTAAATTGGCCAAAATGACCAGCCACCTTAGAGTCATGGGTATCGGACAGTATTTCCATCTGAAGCTTCTTGTCCTTGGGTATGTACCATCTATTCTTGTAGAAGATGAGACCGTTCTTGACCGACAAGTTCTGGTCCAAATTTGGTTTCCTTTCAACCAGGGAGCGGTGCAATTCCTGCCAGAAACTATCCTCTTTAGCAGCCGTGTATAGGCGCTCTAAGAATGTATTCTGCAATTGATTCACCCTGACAGCCCCTAGCTTTGCAGGATCCAAAACCAATTGACCTGGCCTAAAAAAGATCTGTGGCTCCGGCTGCAGAGTTTCACCTCCCTCTCCAAGGCGGTGATCCCAGCGCCTAGATAGCACATCAGTCTTGCCATTCTTTTCTCCCGGTCTGTAGACAACTTTAAAATTGTAGCCTGCGAGGTCCTCAGACCATCTAGCTTGCCGCCTAGTGAGAACCTTGGTAGAATTAAAGTACTCCAAGTTCTTGTGGTCTGTAAAAACCGTGATCTCTTGCTCACAAGATTTGAGCATGTGTTCCCATTCCCGGAAAGAGGCTACAATAGCTCCCATTTCCTTATCATGAATGTCATAGTTGATCTCAGCAGGGGAGAACTTCTTAGAATAGAATGCCACCGGATGTAGCTTCCCATCATCCCCATACTGAGAGAGCACCGCTCCCTTGGCAAAATCACTGGCATCTGTCTCGACCACCGTTCTCCTACTAGGGTCAAAATGAAGGAGGATTGGAGCGCTTGTAAACAGCCTCTTGAGTTCTTCAAAGGCCTGCTCATGTGCTGCTGTCCAATACCATTTCTTGTCTTTTTGCAGGAGGTCAGTTAGTGGTTTGCAAACCTTACTGAAGCCTTCAATAAAGCGGCGATAGAAGTTTGCAAATCCGAGGAATGCCTGTACTGCCTTGATATTCTCAGGGACCGGCCATTCCTTAACTGCCTCCACCTTGTCTTCTGACATAGATACTCCTTGTTCCGAGATATGATAGCCTAGGTATTCTACTTCTCGGACATGGAAGGATGTCTTATTGATCGAGGCACAGAGCTTAGCTTCCCTAAGCTTCTGTAGTACCTTCTTGACCAATAGCTCATGCTCTTTCTCAGTCTCCGAGTAGATGAGGATGTCATCGATATAGACAACTACTCCTTCATCCAGTAGTTCCTTTAGCACATCATTGATCATTGCCTGGAAAGCGGAGGGAGCATTGCATAGGCCAAATGGCATCACATTGTACTGATACAGTCCATAGCGGGTTCTGAAAGCGGTTTTCCACTCATCACCTTCGGCTATCCTGATCAAATTGAAGCCATTCTTCAGGTCTATCTTTGTGAAGATCTTGGCCTTGAACAACCTGTCTCTGAGCTCACTCATGATAGGCAGCGGGTACTTGTCCTTGACAGTGACCTTGTTCAAACCTCTATAATCCACACAAATCCGCAAAGTCCCGTCCTTCTTAGGAATGAACAGTATGGGTGCCGCAGCAGGGCTATTCGATCTAGAGATCTTTCCTGAAGACAACTCTTTGTCCAGGTACTCTCGGAGGGCCTTCAACTCTGGAGCGGAGCATGGGTATAGCGGGCCAAATGGGGGAGCGGTCCCAGGCAAGAGTTTGATCTTCAGATCATTATGGGAATGCGGCGGCATTTCCTCAATCTTCTCTTGACTGAACACATCAGCCCAATCCCGGTATAGGTGGTGTATTTTCTCGGCAATATCACCTCCGTCCTCATCATGCCATACTGAACCAACCAATTGATAGACTGTCTCTTCTTCTTCCAACATTTGGTATGGAGAGATCAGTTCAATCTTGGTGGCCGCTGGGAGACAATTCTGCTTGCAGTAGTCACTCCTCCAGCTCATGGTGTTGAGTTCCCAGTTGATGTCCGGGTTATGCTTCCTAGCCCAACTAATTGGCAGGTAACCGGTCATTCCTTCTTCCAGTGTAGCCACCTCCCATCGGAGTGTCTCTTTATGATCTCCCATAGTCATGCGGACCGGTTGAGTGTAATACTCGCCTCCTCCCATCATGACATCTCCTTGAGCATCAAACATTGTCAGAGGTTGATCCCGCCGCACTAAGGGAATTCCATGTTTCCTGACAAAACTCTGGTTGAGGATAGCTCCTGTACAACCGGTGTCAAACAGAAAAGACCCTTGGGCGCCTTCATCCTTTCCTTTGACCGTCCATGACAGTCCTGCCTTTAGTATAGGTCTTTTTCCATGTACTGGTAAGGAGGGAAGCCTCTGTTCCAACCTTCTTTGCTTAACAGCGGGTTCTGAACTTGTTTCTCTTTGTCTTTTCAACATAGCTAATAGCTTCGGGCACTACTAAGATCAGAGATCCTTTGGTTCTATTCCCAAGCGGTAATATAGCAGATATATTGTGTAGTAGTCTTTTTAGCAGTGGTTTGGAAGTGTCTTGGTAGCAAAATGTAACTTTGGTAGAGCACTGACAGACCAGCTGTTTCGGGTCTTAAACCCATCCTCAGAGTGCTTGGAGCAATCAAATAGGCGGAAACACAATCATAATTTATTCAAGAGAAACATAGAAACCAAAAACCCATATAAAAGAAAACTAGTAAACATAGACTAAAACAGACACTTTTTCTACCAGATGATTTCATTGTCCGAGTCTTGCTCAGGCTGAAAAACAAAATCTTCTGTAACCTCCGGGAGTACAACAAGTGGATCTTCTGCTACTACAGCAGCCACTTTAGCCTTCTTCTGAGAGTTGGATTTACCATTCCCTCTTTTCCGTTTTTGTACTCTCACTGCTGCCACTCGGACAACAGTAGGTTCCTTGGACCAACAATCGGTCCATTTGTGTCTGGACTTGCCGCACTATTGCACAAGTCAGTCTATGCACTCTACCAATAGGGAGTACCGGAAGGTCATACCTTCAAGCATACTTCTGCTTTCCTTCTTTCTTCTAGAATATCCCCCGGGATACCCTTCAGTTCCACCGCTTTGTCTTTAGGTCCTGGAGTCTTCTGAGGTCCGGAGGAGCTCGCAGCTTCTCTTTTCCTCTTAGGCTGCTGGTCCTTCTGAGTGGGAGGATCTTTCTTGGTCCGAGGGTGCGCTTTCTCAGCTGCCATCCCTTGGTACCTCTCATGGGTATGCCCTAACTCTCTTAGAGCAGCTATCCGCTCCATCAAGGACTTTGGCTTGGGGTTGAAAAGAGCCCAACTCATGCCTAGGTCCGGAAGGAGGGAGTTATGGATCTTATCATCCACCAACTGACCCTCATAGCCAGTCTTCCACATCAGCTGAATAATAGTATTCAGGAAGAGGTCTATTCCTCCTCGAGCTGTGTGGGTGAGGGTATTCCATTGGGCTACAGCATCATCTCTAGAGATGGCTTCACCGAAGGCAGCTCTAAAAGCATCCACAAAGGAATCCCAGCGCTTCCATCTCTGATCCAACTGCACCGGTATTCCAGCAAGGCGGTTGGCGGAGGCTTGATCAATTGAATTGTGGTATGCCTCATACCATCGGATCGCTGCCTCCCCTTCCATCAAGTTGCCTGCATATCGGATCTTAACCTCCTCAGAGGTAAATGACAGGCTCTCAATGGAGAACACATTCTCACATTGCCGGATGAAGGTTTCCACTTGCTCCGCCTTGCCTTGGAACTTTGATGGTGGTGGTGCCTTTGGTTCTCGAGCTCTGGTGGAAGTAGAAGGGTGGGAGGTGGACGGAGGTTGATACTGCTGGGACATCATTGCCAACAGATTCTTCTGTTGCTTCTCCAACTTCTTCTTAAGGTATCTCCGCCAACCTCTTCTGTTATTACCTTCTGGTTCCGAGTCTGAGCTGTCAGAATTATCCGAATCTCCTGGGATGGGAGCACGGGCTGCTGGAGGTGGAGGGTTCTGATTTCCGCCACTTCCTCCTTGTGCCTGAGGTGGAGGGGGAGCAGCGGCCGCAGCAGGAGGGGCCACAGGTGCTACTGGTGCCGGGTTGCTAGCCAGTGGTGAGGTTGCTGCTGGTTGAGCAGCCCCAGACATGGTAAACCTTCCTGGGTTCCTGGCTAGCGGACTAGGAGGTCCTCGGCCTGCACCTGAGAAGAACTCTCCTTCATAGTCAAAGGATCGGTCGGCTCCTCCAAGGAGTGGATGTGTTCCACCGAAGCGGCTAGGTGGTAAGGGTGAAGCCCCCACCGCTGGCTGTACAATAGGGATAACTCTCCTAGTGGATCGGACCGGAAATGCTGCAAAGGGGCTGGTCTTCCGCTGCATTGTTCTGGTAGCTGCTCTGGAAGAGGACCTGGAGACTGAAAGTGGTGCCGGAGTTGCTGGTCTACCCACCACCAACCTTCCTTCATCAAGAGCTCTCTGTATCTCGGCAACAAAGTCTGGTGGAGTGGCCGGATTTGTCCACTCAATCTCCATGGCATCAACATCGGCATTTAGTTCATCTCTTTCTGCATACTTCCGGAGCTCTTCCTGAACAGAGTTGACTTCCGACCTCATGTACTCTAGAGCTTCTGCCATCAGAGCATTCTGTGCTGCCTGGCGCTCTTGTACAATGAGCAGTGCCTGACTGCCTCGGTTCAACTGACTCTGCAAGCTATGCTGGAGGTAGGTCTGAAGCTCTGTGAAGAACTGTTGTAAGGGAACCTCATCGGTATCCTGCCAGGCAGGCTCACAGCCGGGAATATAGGCCTGTAGAGCGGTCCTGGGTTTCTTAACAAGCTGTGTCTGCCCGGTGGCATCAAGCTGGAGGGGCACCGGCTGCCATTCAATCTGAAGGGGTGCATCTGGAGCCGAGAGGGCGGACATTTTGTATAGAGGAAGAATAATCTGAAGGTGACTTGAGCCTTAAAGATTATCTGTAACGGGGGTCCTTTCTAAGAGAAATAGATTTGTATAGAATAAAGACGGCCGTGCAAGATAGACAATCAGGTTGCAGATTATTCAAAGATACTATCGCTAGAACTCAATAATCTTTAAGGGCTCTGCTACCGATGAGAACTTGGTTTTTCTTTCTGATGAAGACTTGAGAGAATAGGACTGAAGGGCGGGAATGAACCTGAGTACTTATACTCCGAAGGCCTCTGTTCTCTGCTCCTAACTCCTTTACTAAGTTCCGGTGGGCCTTCCCTCAGTACCGGAAACAATACCACCGCTACCCCGCTTTTCTCTAAGCGTCAGCAGGTGTTTCCGATACCCAAGGCAACCACCCTTAGTCAAAGCCTTTGTAACACCTGCAGCCTTGGTTGCCACACAACTGAGGACCTGCATGAATGAGCTGCCGCTCAGGTGTAAGCTTAATCATTGCTGTAGAGCTTTCGCTTATTGTAGACTTCCCTAGCATAGTCCCTGCCCTTCGGCGGACTTATAATGCACCGAGGATACAGAGGATCACCGGTCAATCAGAGCTTCACTCTGGCCGGTCTTCTAGTCACTGGCGAGGCATAGACTCGTCAGTCATTGCTCCCATGAATAGATCCTCTTCCTAGCGCCCGGAATGTAGTTACTCTAACAGCTGGTAGCTAACCACACTGCCGGTACTTGCATATCACCGTGCAACTGGCTTCTAACAATAGCTCTCAGCATGTAACCGGGCCCTGTGTGTACTCATACACCAGACAGTTGAAATGGCTCCGTTACATCGAGGACCCAGTCTACTAATAATACAGAATACACTCGGGGCATGCCCGAGACCCTGAAAAACAACCAAGAACATTTAACGCCTAAGTCCATTACCCAAACTCCTAAATCCACTAAAACCCCTCAACCTATTTATCCACTCTAATGCACGTTCCCCTGTCGATGTTTCTTCTCCATCGGCCGTCTGGTGGACAATCGTCAGCGTCGGCTATTCAGAGGTCTCGGATGGCAAGGCTACCTACTCAGGCCTCTTCCCACATCGCTTTCCCACATAGCAGAGTCCTCTCATGCCCACAGGTACCGCCGATAGGTACTCGGTCGGCTGGCAGCTTGCGCCGATTCACTCCGAGCGGTCCGATCTTCGATCCGATTGATTCCAGCTGTCCCTCATATATCCACCGGTACCAAAACACTCCCCTCCGGCGGTTTGACGCTCCGGGGGTTATTATTGGGGTCGATAACGTGTTTTTTAACTAGGAAAACCGCAACTCCGCATTTGGTCGCATATCGATCGCACCACACCTCGTGGGTGCGAACCGGAGTTGATAGTGGTGTTGCCATTAGTATCAAAGGGTATTGGGGTATCTACTAGCCTTTCTCTCACTCCCGTAAATGCTTGGCATGCCCGTAACACAGGCCTACACCGAATCGCCTCCCTCCTACTCCAATATCAAACCTCCGGAAATGCAAGAGACAAGTGGAATCAGAATAAACTACTACGCGACCACCTGTTGGAAGAATGGAACACACAACCAATACCGCACTATCACCACCGGGGGGAATTCCGCCCCCCTCCCAAGATTGCGAAACTCACCCTTACGGAAGCAAAAAAAGTTTTTCGAATCCGGTGTCAAACTGCCCGAATCGACAAATACGCAGTACATACAGATCCCGAACCATGCCAGTGTGGTATGGAAAACTCAGCGAAACATATACTTATGGAATGCCCAGCGTAGGCTCGAATCCGCGCCCCTCTGATAGAGAAGATCCCCGGAGCGATGACCTGGGAAAACTGGATGTTTACAAACTTGAGAACGGACCTCATCTGTAACGGGGGTCCTTTCTAAGAGGAATAGATTTGTATAGAATAAAGACGGCCGTGCAAGATAGACAATCAGGTTGCAGATTATTCAAAGATACTATCGCTAGAACTCAATAATCTTTAAGGGCTCTACTACCCATAAGAACTTGGTTTTTCTTTCTGATGAAGACTGGAGAGAACAGGACTGAAGGGCGAGAATGAACCTGAGTACTTATACTCCGAAGCCCTCTATTCTCTGCTCCTAACTCCTTACTAAGTTCCGGTGGGCCTTTCCTTAGTACCGGAAACAATACCACCGCTACCCCGCTTTTCTCTAAGCGTCAGCAGGTGTTTTCCGATACCCAAGGCAACCACCCTTAGTCAAAGCCTTTGTAACACCTGCAGCCTTGGTTGCCACACAACCGAGGACCTGCATGAATGAGCTGCCACTCAGGTGTAAGCTTAATCATTGCTGTGGAGCTTTCGCTTATTGTAGACTTCCCTAGCCTAGTCCCTGCCTTTCGGCGGACTTACAATGCTCAGAGGATACAGTGGATCACCGGTGAATCAGAGCTTCACTCTGGCTGGTCTTCTAGACACTGGCGAGGCATAGACTCGTCAGTCATTGCTCCCATGAATAGATCCCCTTCCTAGCGCCCGGAATGTAGTTACTCTAACAGCTGGTAGCTAACCACACTGCCGGCACTTGCATATCACCGTGCAACTGGCTTCTAACAATAACTCTCAGCATGTAACCGGGCCCTGTGTGTACTCATACACCAGACAGTTGAAATGGCTCCGTTACACCACTCCCCTCTTCCAGGATCTTGGTCTCCGAGATCTATAACCATTCTATTACCATTCATTCTATATGACAAGAAGCTCCGTGATATGCAAGGAAATGAAAACCCAAAGGAAAAATCTACACCCCAACAATCCGCTTGTCCTTGGGTTTCTTGGGATACCTCATATGGAAATCCCGAAGGGCTTCTTCAGCACTCTTCTTGAGATGCTCCCAAGGTTCCCATGTAGCATCCTCGTTTTCATAACCTTCCCACAGCACTAGGTATTCCACTCGTCTCCTTTTCTTATTGACCCGGCTATCAGCTACCTCTCGGACAACCCAGTTCTGTTCTCCTTCAATCTCTTCGGGCTCCGGTACAGGAACTCTTCTCTCAGGATCTACCGGTGCTCGGTAAGGTTTCAGAAGAGAGACATGAAAGACCGGGTGGATTCCCATTTGAGGGGGAAGAGAGAGCTTGTAGGCACGGGTACCAATAGCTTCTAAGACCTTAAAGGGTCCCATCTTCTTCTGATCCAGTTTTCCCAAAGGCCGCTTTGTTTGCACATTGCGCCGGTCCAACATAACTTCATCTCCGGGCTTGATTTCAGGCGGTGCCAGGGCATGGGCATCATACCACCAGGCCATCCTTAATCTAGCTTTACCTAAGCTGGCATTCATAGTGTGAGGGATGCGTACCAGACCACAAGAGTACACTACGCAGAGCTCAGAGTTCGGCTAACAGCTACAAAGGTAGAAGTCTCCAAGGTCTCTTCAGTCAACGTCGAGTATGATTCTCCTTGATCCGATATGGGCCCCGCGAGCTACGTTATCAACAAAGATTCACTAGAGTTAGCGTGTGATGTTCGACCGTCCTCGACGCAATAGTTCAGGTAGAGTTCGAAGTCACAATAGAATAAAGTATTTCCAAAAGTATAGTCAAATAAAGTTGTAACTCGCGTATCAACGATTTATATTGTTAAGACTCTGATTTCGCCGATGATGGTTTGGCTAGTCAGTGAATGACACAGTATTTATATCCCTCGCTTATGTCTCGAGGACCCAATCTACTAATAATACAGAATACACTCGGGGCATGCCCGAGACCCTGAAAAACAACCAAGAACATTTAACTCCTAAGTCCGTAACCCAAACTCCTAAAGCCGCTGAAACCCCTCAACCTATTTATCCACTCTAATGCACGTTTCCCTGTCGATGTTTCTTCTCCATCGGCCGTCTGGTGGATAATCGTCAGCGTCGGCTATTCGGAGGTCTCAGACGGCAAGGCTACCTACTCAGGCCTCTTCCCACATCGCTTTCCCACATAGCAGAGTCCTCTCATGCCCACAGGTACCGCCGATAGGTACTCGGTCGGCTGGCAGCTTGCGCCGATTCGCTCCGAGCGGTCCGATCTTCGATCCGATTGGTTCCAGCTGTCCCTCATATATCCACCGGTACCAAAACACTCCCCTCCGGCGGTTTGACGCTCCGGGAGTTATTATTGGGGTCGAAAACGTGTTTTTTAACTAGGAAAACCGCAACTCCGCATTTGGTCGCATATTGATCGCACCGTACCTCGTAGGTGCGACCCGGAGTTGATAGTGGTGTTGCCATTAGTATTAAAGGGTATAGGGGTATCTACTAGCCTTTCTCTCACTCCCGTAAATGCTTGGCATGCCCGTAACACATAGCCTGCCAGATAGATTCCCATTGAGATATCATGACCTCGCTCGCTGGATTGTTCCATTCTACTCCTTCCTTTGGGGCCGGCCAGTTGGTCCTGGGTTCATAACCATAGTTGGCATAAAAAGCCGATACTTTGGTAGACTCAGAGACCGCCGAGTTATATGCATACTCTGCCAAAGGCAAGAGTTCTGCCCAGTCATCCTGTTGATATGAACAATAACTCCGCAAGTAATGTTCCAGGGTCTGGTTAACTCTTTCTGTTTGACCGTCCGTTTGTGGATGGAATGATGTGGACATCTTCAGCTTCACATTGAGGAGACTCATGAGAGATTGCCAAAAGTGAGAAATGAACCTGCTATCTCTGTCCGAGACTATGTCATCAGGTAAACCATGGAGTCTCCAAACTTCCTTCAAGAACAACTTAGCCAAATCTTCCGTTTTATTGAGGGTAGGAAGAGGGATGTAGTGTGCCATCTTTGAAAAGAGGTCCACTATTACCCAGATCTTTGTAAACCCACTAGATTCCGGTAATCCCACAATGAAGTCCATAGAGATGGAAGTCCATGGCCGATAGGGTATCTCCAACGGTTGGAGCATACCAAACTTCTTATGTCTGGAGGTCTTATTCCTCTGGCAGCTGTCACAGCTCCGGACATATTCCTCAACATCCTTATCCATGTTGGGCCAAAAGAAGTTGTTTTTCACCCGCTCAAGTGTCTTAAATTGGCCAAAGTGACCCGCCACCTTAGAGTCATGGGTATCGGACAGTATTTCCATCTGAAGCTTCTTGTCTTTGGGTATATACCATCTATTCTTGTAGAAGATGAGACCGTTCTTGACCGACAAGTTCTGGTCCAAATTTGGTTTCCTTTCAACCAGGGAGCGGTGCAGTTCCTGCCAGAAACTATCCTCTTTAGCAGCCGCATATAGGCGCTCTAAGAATATATTCTGCAATTGATTCACCCTGACAGCCGCTAGCTTTGCAGGATCCAAAACCAATTGACCTGGCCTAAAAAATATCTGTGGCTCCGGCTGCAGAGTTTCACCTCCCTCTCCAAGGCGATGATCCCAGCGCCTAGATAGCACATCAGTCTTGCCATTCTTTTCTCCCGGTCTGTAGACAACTTTAAAATTGTAGCCTGCGAGGTCTTCAGACCATCTAGCTTGCCGCCTAGTGAGAACCTTGGTAGAATTAAAGTACTCCAAGTTCTTGTGGTCTGTGAAAACAGTGATCTCTTGCTCACAAAATTTGAGCATGTGTTCCCATTCCCGGAAAGAGGCTACAATAGCTCCCATTTCCTTATCATGAATGTCATAGTTGATCTCAGCAGGGGAGAACTTCTTAGAATAGAATGCCACCGGATGTAGCTTCCCATCATCCCCATACTGAGAGAGCACCGCTCCCTTGGCGAAATCACTGGCATCTGTTTCAACCACAGTTTTCCTACTAGGGTCAAAATGAAGGAGGATTGGAGCGCTTGTGAACAGCCTCTTGAGTTCTTCAAAGGCCTGCTCATGTGCTGCCGTCCAATACCATTTCTTGTCTTTTTGCAGGAGGTCAGTTAATGGTTTGCAAACTTTACTGAAGCCTTCAATAAAGCGGCGATAGAAGTTTGCAAATCCGAGGAATGCCTGTACTGCCTTGATATTCTCAGGGACCGGCCATTCCTTAACTGCCTCCACCTTGTCTTCTGACATAGATACTCCTTCTTCCGAGATGTGATAGCCTAGGTATTCTACTTCTCGGACATGGAAGGATGTCTTACTGATCGAGGCACAGAGCTTAGCTTCCCTAAGCTTCTGTAGTACCTTCTTGACCAATAGCTCATGCTCCTTCTCAGTCTCCGAGTAGATGAGGATGTCGTCAATATAGACAACTACTCCTTCATCCAGTAGTTCCTTTAGCACATCATTGATCATTGCCTGGAAAGCGGAGGGAGCATTGCATAGACCAAGTGGCATCACATTATACTGATACAGTCCATAGCGGGTTCTGAAAGCGGTTTTCCACTCATCACCTTCTGCTATCCTGATCAAATTGAAGCCGTTCTTCAGGTCTATCTTTGTGAAGATCTTGGCCTTAAACAACCTGTCTCTGAGCTCACTCATGATAGGCAGCGGGTACTTGTCTTTGACAGTGACCTTGTTCAAACCTCTGTAATCCACACAAATCCGCAATGTACCATCCTTCTTAGGAATGAACAATATGGGTGCCGCAGCAGGGCTGTTAGATCTAGAGATCTTTCCTGAAGACAATTCTTTGTCCAGGTACTCTTGGAGGGCCTTCAACTCTGGAGCGGAACATGGGTACAGCGGGCCAAATGGGGGAGCGGTCCCAGGCAAGAGTTTGATCTTCAAATCATTATGGGAATGCGGCGGCATTTCCCCAATCTTCTCTTGACTGAACACATCAGCCCAATCCCGGTATAGGTGGTGTATTTTCTCAGCAATATCACCTCCGTCCTCATCATGCCATACTGAACCAACCAATTGATAGACTTTCTCTTCTTCTTCCAACATTTGGTATGGAGAGATCAGTTCAATCTTGGTGGCCGCTGGGAGACAATTCTGTTTGCAGTAGTCACTCCTCCAGCTCATGGTGTTGAGTTCCCAGTTGATGTCCGGGTTATGCTTCCTAGCCCAACTAATTGGCAGGTAACCGGTCCTTCCTTCTTCCAAAGTAGCCACTTCCCATCGGAGTGTCTCTTTATGATCTCCCATAATCATGCGGACCGGGTGAGTGTAATACTCGCCTCCTCCCATCATGACATCTCCTTGAGCATCAAACATTGTCAGAGGTTGATCCCGCCGCACTAAGGGAATTCCATGTTTTCTGACAAAACTCTGGTTGAGGATAGCTCCTGTACAACCAGTGTCAAATAGGAAAGACCCTTGGGCGCCTTCATCCTTTCCTTTGACCGTCCATGACAGTCCTGCCTTCAGTATAGGCCTTTTTCCATGTACTGGTAAGGAGGGAAGCTTCAGTTCCAACCTTCTTTGCTTAACAGCGGGTTCTGAACTTGTTTCTCTTTGTCTTTTCAACATAGCTAATAGCTTCGGGCACTACTAAGATCAAAAGATCTTTTGGTTCTATTCCCAAGCGGTAATATAGCAGATGTATTGTGTAGTAGTCTTTTTAGCAGCGGTTTGGAAGTGTCTTGGTAGCAAATGTAACTTTGGTAGAGCACTGACAGACCAGCTGTTTCGGGTCTTGAACCCATCCTCAGAGTGCTTGGAGCAATCAAATAGGCGGAAACACAATCATAATTTATTCAAGAGAAACATAGAAACCCCAAAACCCATATAAAAGAAAACTAGTAAACATAGACTCAGACAGACACTTTTCTACCAGATGATTTCATTGTCCGAGTCTTGCTCAGGCTGAAAAACAAAATCTTCTGTAACCTCCGGGAGTACAACAAGTGGATCTTCTGCTACTACAGCAGCCACTTTAGCCTTCTTCTGAGAGTTGGACTTGCCATTCCCTCTTTTCCGCTTTTGTACTCTCACTGCTGCCACTCGGACAACAGTAGGTTCCTTGGACCAACAATCGGTCCATTTGTGTCTGGACTTGCTGCACTATTGCACAAGTCAGTCTATGCACTCTACCAATAGGGAGTACCGGAAGGTCATACCTTCAAGCATACTTCTGCTTTCCTTCTTTCTTCTAGAATATTCCCCGGGATACCCTTCAGCTCCACCGCTTTATCCTTAGGTCCAGGAGTCTTCTGAGGTCCGGAGGAGTTCGCAGCTTCTCTTTTCCTCTTAGGCTGCTGGTCCTTCTGAGCGGGAGGATCTTTCTTGGTCCGAGGGGGCGCTTTCTCCGCTGCCATCCCTTGGTACCTCTCATGGGTGTGCCCTAACTCTCTTAGAGCAGCTATCCGCTCCATCAAGGACTTTGGCTTGGGATTGAAAAGAGCCCAACTCATGCCTAGGTCCGCAAGGACGGAATTGTTGATCTTATCATCCACCAACTGACCCTCATAGCCAGTCTT